GCGAACGCCACTGAACCGGCATCTTACGCTGTTAGTGTCTAGTTTTGATCAATCCACGGTCTTGCGCAACTTCACCTACTGTTTTCGGTGAGCACTGCTTCACAACTGAACAGGGTTCAACTCCACTAGTCACGACTTCTCGCTAGAACTCGGAGAAACTTCCTCACGAAGCTAGTCACTAGTGGTGAGCACATGCATGAAAGTGGTCTGGAGATTGTTGTGTTACGTACGTACCAAGTTCTACGTTGCTATTGATTGATTGGTTGATTGTGTTACGTTTTTAAATCATCAAGACACCAACCAGCTCAGTATTGGTCCAGTGGGATTCGATGTTCGAGCGCTGTCCAGTGCTTCCAGGTTTCTAACACACAGAATGGTCTAACATTGATTGATTCATGATTTCCAAACAGACATTTTCATCAAAATGAAACAATATTCCCCCTCCCCTAGAATAACTGTCATTGTTCTCCGCGCTGTCTCCTGTATTTCCTTCTCCCAGTCAAAGTTGTGTATGAATAAATGTCGGAAAATAAAATTCAATTACTTAACACAAGTCAATATTAATCATGATTGATTGAAATCCATTCGTTTCTATTTATATTTATATCAATGACGACAATAAATGTCAAGCATAAAATATCAATTTTGCGATAAATAAGCAAACAAAAAAAAACATGATTAATTTTCAAATTATTGAGGAAAAAAAACAAATGATTTATATTTGAATGAAATTTCAATTTTTTATTTTTATTTTATCAAACTAATAATAAAACGCGAATGAAATGATTTTCTTTTTTTTAAAAAAAAAAGAAAAGAAATATTCTTCATTAGTGAGTTATGTGAGATTGTGGAGTTTCATTTTGATATTATGGGTTGATCAATGTTAGATTATCATTATTAGAGAGAGAGAGAGAGAGAGAGACATAGAAGCACATGAGTGGCCGTTTTTATCTTGATATGTGGAACTTATGAGTAGTGCTCATCCGCAACTCCCGCTACTCGCAGGAAGTCAGTCAGTCAGTCAGATGCAACGTAGAACTTCGTACGTAAGTACATGAGTTCATGTCGCCATATCACATCAGCACATAGATGTAATTGTTAATTCAAATCCAATAGTAGAAGAGGTAGTAAAGGTATTAGAAGTAAACGGAGAGGTTAGGATTAGAAGATATTATTCAAGAAGTATGATTCTGTGAGAAAAGTTTAGAAAGACAAAACTAGAGGTGTTGAAGAATCCAGAAGATAAGGATTTGAGAGAACACAAAGAATAAATGCACCGGCGCCATTGCGAACGATTTTGAGCCATGTCATTCAAGGTCTCTAACCATCGATTATTATCATCTCGAGGACCCCAACCAGGTAGTCGACAATTACCGACATGGCTAAGTCCACTAGTCAATGACTTCATGGATTTCTGCCATGTTTTGGTTCGGCCGCCCCTAACTTTCTTCCAACCTACTCCTACACTACAAAACAAAGCTCTTCGAGGCAGTCGGTGGTTAGGCATACGCAGCACATGTCCCAACCACCTCAACTGATGAAGTTTCATTACTTCATCGATTGATCAGCCATTCTTACCTAGCACCCGATTCCTAATAACAGCGTTGCTCACTCGGGTGTCCCATGATATACGAGCAATGCTTCGAAGACATCTATGATCGAAAACCAATAACCGACGAGTATCTTCTACTCTCATTGGGCATGTTTCACAGCCATAAAGTAAGACGGAGCGAACCACTGCACAGTACACTCGTCCTTTAGTCAGCAAACGGATATCACGCCTTCGCCATAAGTGACGCAGGTTGGCAAAAGCCAACCGAACCTTCTGTATCCGAGCTGAGATTTCGTCAGTCACCAGGCCATCAGCACTGATGAGACTCCCAAGATAAGTGAAGCGGTCTAAACGTTCGACTACTTCACTCCCTATCACTAGTTCAGGTGCCGATGAAACCCAGTCTTGAAGCAACATTTTGCATTTCGATGGGGAAAACCGTATACCGAACATGCTTGCATTGTTGCTTAGGGTGGTCAGAAGACTCTGCATTTTGTCAGCGTCTTCACCAAGAAGGACTATGTCATCGGCATATTCTAAGTCAATAAGCGAGCCACCTGGTAGGAAGGTCTACTCCTGAAAATTCAGACGAGGATAAGGTCATTTCTAGGAGCACGTCTATGATAAAATTAAACTCGCAGGAAGTCCCTTTGTCCTAGTATGAAACTTATCAGCCATGCGCACCCACCATCCTCACTTGTGGGAATCGAACTAAGGACCTTCGATCTCGTACGCGAACGCTCAACTTGTAGACTACTGAGCTCGGAATCCAACAGTGTTAACGTCTGGATGTGTACTATTGACGATTCCCATAGGAGAATGTAACGACCGTCCAGTGCTTTCAGCCTTCTGATGGTGGTAATCTAACAATGATTGATTCATGATTTTAATGTGAAATAAATGTGAATTTGTGATGATTTGAATTGGCATTGTTGTTATTGTTGAAAACATTTCGAACTGGAATTCTTACTTACTTACTTACGCCTGTTTACCCACAATGGAGCGTAGGCCGCCCACCAGTTTTCTCCGACCAACTCTGTCCTGGGCTTCCCTTTCCAGTTCTGTCCAACGTTTTTTCATCCCTCTCATATCTTTCTCTATTTCTCGGCGTAATGTGTTCTTTGGCCTTCCTTTTTTCCTTTTGCCTTGAGGGTTCAATGTGAGAGCTTGTCTCGTGACGCAGTTAGGTGCTTTTTGGAGTGTGTGTCCTATCCACTTCCATCGCTTCTTCCTGATTTCCTCCTCCACTGGAATCTGACTTGTTCTCTCCCACAGTTCGTTGTCGCTGATGGTGTCTGGCCAACGAATACGAAGTATTTTGCGTAGACAACTGTTAATAAACACTTGTATCTTGTGGATGATGGCTTTCGTAGTTCTCCAAGTTTCCGCTCCATATAGTAGAACTGTCTTGATATTTGTATTGAAAATCGTGATTTTGGTTTTGATTGAAAGTTGTTTGGAGTTCCAGATAATTTTCAACTGTAGAAATGCAGCCCTTGCTTTGCCGATTCGTGCCCTCACATCTGCATCGGATCCACCTTGATTGTCGATGATGCTGCCCAGATATGTAAAGGTGTTAACGTCCTCCAAGGCATTTCCATCAAGAGTGATTTGGTTGGTGCATGTTGTGTTGCATCGGAGAATTTTGCTTTTTCGGACTGGAATTCGGTCAATCTTAATTGTTGTTTGAACATCATAATGTGGATTACTTCGATATCACCATTATGATATAATCTTATAACGATTGGATAAAATGTGACTTGTATTGCGCATCAACTCTGTGATGCAGGTATGTTCAAACAAACGAGTTCCAAAAAAAATGGAACGAAACACACGTTTTGGATTCCACCGTTTATAGCCTAAAGGCGAATATCGTAGCATAATCCGCGCCGGTTATATATATATATATATATTATATATATATATATATATGAGTTTCCTAGTGTTTCTTACCTATCAAATTATATGATACATGATTCTGACAGTATACACATATATATGTGTGTTTATCTCTTTGAAATTTAAGGTCAACCAACAGACACTAGTCTTTATGCAACTGTTCAACGTCCATCAGCCAATATTCCTAGTTCATTGGTTACAAGTTTACAACGTGTCATTTTACAACAACAACAACAGCAGCAACAACAACAACAACCACAAACACTACAACAAATGCATATTACTCAAACACAACCGGCTATGATTCCTGGTATGAATATGTATCCACAAGTAAGTTACATTTAAATGAATGTTTTGTACCTAAGAATGAAATCATGATTTGGTACTGTTATTATACTAGAAGAAATTCCATACTGCATTCATTCGCAAGACCGAGGGTCATGGGTTCAAATCCTATGAGGTGCAGGAGTCGTCGACGCGTGCTGCCACTGATGAGTCCCGGACCAGGACGAAACGGCTGTCCAGTGGTTTCAGGTTTCTAATGATGGTCTAACAATGATTGATTGATGATTTCAAATGTGTTCAAGGTATCAATCGTAAGTAAGACAGTATCTTATGGAGGCAACCGTGATCAGCGGTGATCATCATCCATTTAAATATCGTAACTGGATTTTGCGAGTTTTAAAGGCTTGCAGACTAAAAACCGTTGGGACTGTTCAAAGTGTATGTTTGTGTGTGTGTGTGTGTGAATTGTATGGGCTCTGGTTTGTATAATTTATGTGCGAAGCTTTAGACAAAGCGTATGCATGTTGGGCTTGTCAAAAGGAACGTTAGCTGGAAAATCTGCCCATTATTAAATAGATTTTTTTTAAATGTCGGTGTAACTTTGCGAATACGTACATAAGTTCATGTTACCATGCTAAATTATCACAGAGTGATGGAATTGTCATTTCGAATCCCATATTGATAGATGTAATGATCTGCGAGCTATGATGCTTGGTGTAGGGATAAGCTGGAAGGAAGCTAGGGCTGGCCATGAAATTGCTGAAAACTGGACTAAGCCATGTTGGTATGTGTAGAATACCTGGTTAAGGTCCACGAGACGATAGAAACCGGAGGGTAAGAGACCTTGAATGACATGCCTCAAAATTGTTTTGCGTGGCGCTGATGCATCCATTCTTTGTAGTCTCACAAATTCTAATCTTCTGAATTCCTCATGACTTTTATCTTTGCTCTTTTTAAAATGTTTTCACTGGGATATACCTTTCGAATGATATCTTTGATCAGTAATCTTTTTGATAATTGTTAATACTTCTACTACTTCTACTGTGGTGGCCAATTTCTACGTGTTTTTAGTCTTCGTAATCAGCTCCTTCAGACAATCGTCACTAAATGGCGTCTGACGCTTTATAAATCAGAAGGTAAACTCGAAGTGCTGAATACATTTATTTTGGCACACCAAAAATAGAGATAGCAGACCACAAGCAGACCGGGCAGGCACACTAGCGAGCAAATGTGCCAGTGTTCGAGTGAATTAATAAGATTAAAATGCTCGTATATATTACATAGGAAAATGTCTGAGTCATCGTGATATTTAAGAGATCAATATTAAAGCGAATAGGATGCATATGCTGCGCATAGGCGGTAAGCAATGCTCAGTCATATTTTCCCTTAAATGATTCACGCTTTTCCTGTAAAATATGATTTGATTTTTAAGTATATTTACTTTAACAAAAAACATTTTTTTCTTACAGGCTACACCAGCCCTACAACCTTTGCCAACACTGAATCTATCTAATCTGTCCACATCATCAGCTTTCACAAATCTTGCACGAGCATTACTTCCTGCATCAGTTGCCTATAATGTTGTTGGTGAATCGTTCACTGCACCACCATCATTGTCTGGTAGTGGTGGTGGTGGTGGCGCTGCTGCTGCTGCTGCTTCTATTCCTCCGACACTATTCCCTAATCCTCCTAATTTAATGCCCAATTCTAATTTGTTACTTTCTAATTTGAGACCATCAATTTTCCCACCACAACATTTATTACCGAATCTTCAAATTCCATCGGCTATAGAACAACCACCGTATTTTTCACCACAGAATAGATTAGCCGGTCCATCCGATATAGGTGAGTAGTATAATTGAATTTGTCAAAGTTTTTTTTTGTGTTTTAACGTCTCATTGAAATCATGAATTGATCAAACGCAAGAGCACCATTTAGAAACTTCGGAAGTATCGGATGATTGTTTCATTCTGGTATGTAACTGACTAATCATCAGTGCTCATCTACGATAATGCAAATTTTTAAAGTTGTCAATGTAGATTCGTCAAGATAGTAGAGTTTCATTGAAATCATGAACTGATCAACGAGAGGACCACTGTTAGAAACTTGGAAGCTTTGGACGGATAATACATCATAATATGGAAGTATTTATCATCAATGTTTGTGGTGGGTATCTTCGACCTTGCAAGCGAGAATCGAAACCGTGACCTTCGGTCTCGCACGTGAGGACTTGGCCTTGAATTACTGGAAAGCAAATGCCTAATTCAAATGGAGGTAGAGTACAGGCCATTAAAACATATTGCAAGAATGTTGATTGCTGAGGTCAATCAAGTCATCAAATTATTCTGTGGCTACTGAGGTATAAATTTCGGGATTTCACTCAGATTAATATTCATTGGCTACCCTGATATGGTTGGAAGTTTCAATGTTGTTTTGAATACGTGAGGTCGTGCAAAATCTCTAGATCGATCAGTGTTAGACATTAGACAGTGGTCCAGAGGTTACGCATTCACCCATAAGACCAAAGGTTATGGGTTCGAATCCTACGAGGTGCAGGAGTCGTGGATGCCTACAGCTGATGAGTCCCACATGAGGATGAAACGGTCGTCTTTTAGTGCTGCTAGGTTTTTAGTGATGGTCTAACAATGACTGATTGGTGATTTCAACGTGTAATACATCTTCTCATTTCTTTCATTACCATCCTCCAGGAACCGATTTTTTCGATTTCGTTATCATACGTTTACCAGTAGTTTGGCTGAAGATGGATTTCCTGACGTTTTTAGTGTGATATTTTAATGGATTCAGTTGAAAGTTTAGGTTAATGGATCGAAATTCACTGGTTTGAATGTCATACATATTGATCGTAAGAAAGGAAAGTATCAATTAGGAAAAATTAGCTATTTTGTGTCGGGAAGTACTGTAGAGAGTAACTGGAAATATATTTTTTTCAAATTATTTAAAGAATTGACTCCCTATGGTCAATATTATATTTTTCATTGTTTCACATAACGCAAATTCTTGAAGAACGTGATTGACTATACAAGTCAATAAGAGAATGCGCGTAACATAAATGAGAATAGCTTGATGTAAAAAATGTAATTTAGGACTAGGAGTGGTGTATATACTTTAAACTGTAACTGATTCCATTTAGTCTTCAATTAAATACAAGTGTATTGACACTTTGGACCAATCAAATATCGGACAAATGTTACGCGCACCTGATTGGCCAATAACATGTCAACATTTCTGAGTGTTGATGGCTTAATTACCTGGGGGATATATATATATATATATATATATATATATATATATATATATATATATATATATTACTGATTTGGTTGGCGAATAAGAGGTGTATTGCTACCTAAGTAACTGATTGAGACCGTTCATGAGAACCTGATATAGCTGTATCAGAATTGAACACGACTTAAAACAATATCAAGTATCATTTCGTTGTGAATTTCGCGCTAAAACTATGAGTTTGTTTTCTGATTGAAATCTGTCTTTTACGCTTAACACTAAAAGGAAGCTTGATTTTTTTCCGAAATTCAATATTTTAGGTTTATTTGGTGATATTTCACAAACTGACTTATTAAATGATCCATCTTGGCAAGCTGAACAAAAACGACGCATAGATTTACAAAGAACACGTTCCTTGTTGAATGAACAAGAAAGGAAATTATTTGAAGAATTAAAAAATATTCGTAATCGACGAGCTGGTCTTTCAAAATTGGAACAATATGGACGTCAGAATGTCGGTGGTAGTGGTGCTGTTGGCAGTTCTGGACTGACACCTTTAGAAAGTTATCGTCGAGCTACTAAACGTATATCGACCAGTGAAGATGCACGTCTTAGAGGTCGTGCTAGACCTTTATATGCAATCGGTCGATCTGGGTCAGGTTAGTTCTAAGATATTTTCCTTAGTTGGATGGATTGTTACTGTACTACCGTAATAAGGCTGGTGATCGAGTTTGTACTGCCAACTAGATAAAACACTCAATGGATATGGTATGCATAGATATACTAGATCACACTATATCAGATGCATGATGTCATGACTACAAATGAATTATTTCTTTTGGTTAGCGTTTTTTTGGCAAGTTAGTTTTTAGTTGGGATGGGGGCGCCAACCCCATGCCCAACTCCCTCCTCCTTTATCCGGACTTGGGACCGGCAGTAGCCCCGAAGGGTCTACAGGCGGACTACAAATGAAGTACTACAGTAAATGCTGGACAATACTTCATGTCACACTATTACAAGCAGTTATTTTCAATGAGTTCAGAATAGTAGAAACTAATAAACAGAGACGAAATCACATTTCGAGTAAATAGTAAACTGAATACATATCTATCCGTCCACACTCGATGACCAATCAGATGTTAGTTTTCTTGACCACGCATCATTTAGATAACTAACCATTTATGTGAAGTGGTTGTAATTAGAACGTACTTCTGACTTCCTCATCGCCTTTTTCCTCTTTTTCAATTTATTTCACTGTATCGTACTTCTGGAATCTTATCTTCTATCCCTAATCTTTTCGACTATCACTAGAACTGCTATGACCTCTACAACTATAGGATTTCAATTGACAGAATTCCATCTCTGTGTACAGATATGATATGGCACTTTCGATTGATGTACATACGTACGTACAAAGTTCAACGTTGTGACTGACTGACTGACTCTGTGGGCTGTATTGAAAAAGGCATTGAAATCTTCATTTTTGTTGGCAGCATTGAACTCTAAGTGGGGCTCACTACTTTAGTGTTCTGCTATCTGTTTCCTTTATTTATGAACTGCAAAATATACTATGAACTAAATCTCCCTCTCAGTTTCCGTATGTCATACTTAGGTGAACCCCGTTTGTGCGATGGCGGTACTATGAAGTCAAATACAGATTAGATTGGATATGTTTTTTTCCAGGCAGACAGACATGAGAATGAAGAGCTTACAAGCAAAAGGAAATGAAGTGGAGAAGGCTGACAAGTAAATTCCATGAGATAAAGCATGAGTAAGTATTTGTAGCCAGACAAAAAAAGCCAACTATGACATAAAAGCAGTAAGCGTACTAACACACATATTCGAATAGAAACTATCAAAATGAAAGCGAATGGTTGAATAGAATAGTTAATTTGTCCGAAGGCTTGAGACCAAGCTCTTTGACCTCAACATAAAAATACATGCACTCCAAGTTATAATATCGTATAATTGTGAAGTTCTGTCACAAATTGCATTAAATCAAATGTCTACCATTGGATTACTGCCCGTTGGTCTATGGATGAAACATTTGCAGTGAAATTTCAATATCCTGTAATCTATTTTCTGATGTAGCCGTGTGTATGGATTGTCAAACGATCCAACACCTTGGATGAAACATTTATTCAGGGTTTAGGGACGTTAGATCTCCAGAACTCACTTGATTAAGGTCCTAAATTTGGATGTTATACTTTCGCACATGGGCTGATCAATTGACCTTGAGATCACATTTCCCACCCGGAAAACCCTTGGCTGTCTATTGCTTGATGTGTTATTTTAGCACACTATTTTTGTGGATCTCCCAAGGACGTTTCTATCATGTATAAATAAACTCGATTTGTGTGCTTGTCAACCTCATATTTTCTGGATGCTTGTAGAATACACTTTCTACGCCATATCAAGACTTCTTCCTCTACTTAGTTGGGGCCTTTGGACACTTGGATTAGAGTAGCCTATCGTATCACTGGATCATTTGTCTTCTCTCTGATTTACTGACTAAGGTGAACTCGTATTAATTTCAAGCATATCAATTGCTATGCATAACATTCTCTATGGTTTAGCCTACTTTACAATAATGACATTGATTACGTTACAATAATAATAATCATTATTATTATTACTGTGCTGATTCAACAAAGTGTTACAAATCAGATCGATAGATATTTGCATTATCCCTTACATGATTGAATGACTAACTGGTTTTTAAGTCGGATAAGAAATGACATGTTTTTTTCTTATTATTGAAACTTTTTTTCAACATTCAATATTTTTTTTTCAGCTGATACAGCAAGAGTACCACTTGGAAGTGGAGGTCATTATCCGTACGGTGATACGTATGGATCAGATCTTGGTAAGTTGATTGTGCATTAATTTTTACAAAAAGTTGAATTATTATTGATTATTATGATTAATTTGTTATCCAAATGCAATTTTTTTTTAATTGAAATCATGAATCGATCATTGTTAGACCATCCTAACTCTAAACACCTTGAAGCTCTGAACGACTGTTTCGTCTTCATTTCAACAGTGGGGATCTACGACCCGCGCTCGCGGGAATCTAGTGAGAAGCAGTGACCACTGGATCTCAACCCTGTCGGGTGTAGGTAGTTATCTACCAAAAAAAACGGGTGAGGTTACGCAATACTTTGGATTAATTAGAGCTGGATGCCTGCTCAGTGGTCAATGGTCTTGAAGTTACGCGTTCGCGCGCGGAACCGACGGTCCTAGGTTCATTTTCCGCGTTCAGTGGTAGTGTACGTGCACTGTCGATGAGATTCATAATAGAAAGGAACGACCGTCCAGTGCTTTCACGTTTCTAATGATACTTACTTACTCACTTACGCCTGGTACCCCCAATGGAGCATTGGCCACCGATCAGTATTCTTCAACCTACTCTGTCCTGGGGCCTTCCTGTCCAATTCTGCCCAGTTTTTGTTCATTTTTATCATATCTTTCTCTATGTCTCGGCGTAATGTGTTCTTTGGCGTTCCTCTTTTCCTTTGACCTTGAGGGTTCCAAGTGATGGCTTGTCTTGTGACGCAGTTGGTTGCTTTTCGTAGTGTGTGTCCTATCCACTTCCACCGCTTTTTCCTGATTTCCTCATCCACTGGAATCTGGTTTGTTCTCTCCCAAAGTAAGTTGTTGCTGATGGTGTCTGGACAAAGAATCCGAAGTATTTCGCGAAGACAAAAGTTGTGCAACACTTCAGATTAGTGGAAGTGAAACATTAAGACTGTTAGATGCCGGCTCAGTCAGCGTGCAGAACCAACCTGGATTCGATTTCCACGCTCAGGGATTGTGGATGCGCATTGTTGATGAGTTTCATACTAGAACGGAATGGCCGTCCAGTGCTTCCAAGTTTCTAATGGTATTCTAATAAGGATCAGTTTGTGAATTCGATGAAACTCAACAATCTCTTCAATTCTATTGAAACCTGAATCTTTTATATGCATACTTTTTCATTTTTAGATGAAGATTCAGCTCTGTTAGCTATTTTAGAACAACGATTGTCTAGAAAACCAGACAGTCGACGAATCTATTCTGATTCTGAAATGGGATTACAAGATACGGTAGCAGGCGGCGGTGGTGATATTCCATTACGTATTGTTGGACAACAACAACGTTCTGGTCATGTGGTTGATGGATCTAGTCAAGCGTTTACTAGTCCTAATGTACCAGGTAAAATTACTGTTGTCACTGTTATTATATTTGAACGTCCTCAACTGACTTGCAGAATTTTCAGACTTATCATACTCAATTTAATTTCACTGGATTATTATACTTCTTGAATGAATAGTTTTGAATCCTAATCTCTTCTCCATAACCATCCATGCTTCTACTGCTATGGGACTTGAATTGATAGTTGCCTCTCTGTGTGCTGATTTGGTATGTCAACTCGGACTGATGTACATACATGCCGAGTTCCACACTGTAACTGACTGACTGACTGACTGAAGCCTAACTACCAATTTTACATTTTATTGGATAAAACACAATGGTGAGTACGGGCCGATGTTAAATAAATGATATACTCAGTGTTATACTTCATATGAAATACAACAGCATCAGATCGACCGGTACGCACGATACGATAAACAAACCAGTCAGATTTAAGTTAGTGAGTCATAGATTTTGGCGCGAAATTCATTCGTGCCTATGGTTAAACAGCATTTTGGCATTATAGCTGATGTTTGTTCGTGATGTAAATGAAAACTTTAATTCTAATTACTAGTTCTTATTACACACTCTAACTACTAATTTTCTTTAGACCCTTGTAAGTAGGCATTCGCGCGTTAGACCGAAGGTCCTGGTGTCGAATCCTGTGAGGTGCAGGAGTCGTGGATGCGCACTGCTGATGAGTCCCATAGCAGGACGAAATGCCTGTCCAGTGCTTCCAGGTTTCTAATGGTGGTCTAACATTGATTGATTGATTGATGATTTCGAATGTGTAAAAACACTAATCTCCATAACTCTAATTGAGAAAATCTCAAGATCAATGTGTAGTTGCTCCAACGTTGTCCACAAATTATAATCTCATCGAAACACCTAGAATAAAGTTTTCTGTTGATTGAACTTAACACTTGTACCGTGTGTACTTTTATGTCAAGCACCCTACAGGGCTTGCTTCAGCTTTTGAACAGTTTAATCAGTCTTTTCTTCTCGAGTTATTATTCACTCGTCGTTTGACCTTTTCATTTATTTGCTCATATCTTGGTCGTTTTTATTCGAGTGTGTTTGTGCATCGTTTTGTTCGCTGGTTTATTTTGTCCGACTACAAAAACCAAGTCATGCTTCATAGCACTGAGTTAGATTATTCGTACGTGTGTACATAAGTTCATGTTGCCATACCACATTAGCACAGAGACGCAAATGTCAAATCAAACCCCATAGTGATAAAGATAGTAGAGGTATTAATGGCAATGAAGAAGACTAGGGTTCGAAGATATTATTCAAGAAGTATAATTCGGTGAGATAAGGTTAGAGAGACAAAGGTAGATGTGCTGACGATTCCAGAAGATTAGGATTTGAGAGAGCTCAAAGAATGGATGCACTTGCGCCACTGCAAACGATTTTGAGCCATGTCGTTCAAGGTCTCTAACCATTGATGACTTTCGTCTCGCTGACCCCAACCAGGTAGCCTACATCTACTAACATGACTCAGTCCACTAGTCAGTAACTTCATGGATTTCTGCCATGTCGGTAGTTAGGTATTTGTAACACATGTCCCAACCACCTCAACTGATGAAGTTTCACCACTTCATCTACTGATCTGCCATCCTTACCAAATGGCAGTATTACTCACTCGTTAGTGAACCCTACTTCTCATTCAATGCAACCATTAAACGCTCATAGAAATTTCTCATTTTTCATAGTACGATTTCAGGATATTATTTCAATATGTTTGTATGATGTGATCTTTACAGTGATTCATATATATCCGGCTTTTAATTGTTCATTTAGGGTGTACATAGATATTTTATTGAATTATATCAAACTATCCCGTAAATTAAATTTTAATTGGTGTAGTATAATAGCTCTATATCTTCTGATTGTGATTATATTTTATAAATGATGATAATAGTTCAATGAAAATGTTAACTTCTTAACTTTTTATTTTTAAACCGGAAATAATTCTGATTCAGTCTAATAAAATTTTAAATTGAACATTAATTCAAGCCGTCATAATGATTAGTCAGTTTTTTTAATATTTAATATTGAATAGTTAATAATACTAATCAACTCTTTGTAATCACGTTCATTTGTATATCATGTAAAGTTTGGATAATAATTCCATTTTAAGATAAATAATGGTTGAGTGGTTGACTTTAAGATTTCATGTTATCTATTTATCAGCAAGCATTGCTCGTATACCGTGGGACAACCGAGTAAGCAATGCTGTCGTTAGGAAGCGAGTGCAAGGTAAGGATGGCAGATCAATAGATGAAATGGTGAAAATTCATCAGTTGAGGTGGTTGGGACATGTGTTACGAATGCCTAACCACCGACTGCCTCGACGAGTTATGTTTTGTGGTGTAGGTGTAGATTGGAAGAAAGCTAGGGTCGGCCAGACCCAAACATGGCAGAAATCCATGAAGTCACTGACAAGTAGGCCAAGTTATGTTGGTAGATGTAGACTACCTGGTTGGGGTCCGCTAGATGATAGTCACCAGTGGTTAGAGACGTTGAACTACATGGCTCAAAATCGTTTGCAATGGCGCAAGAGCATCCGTTCGTTGAGCTCTCTCAAATCCTAATCTTCTGGAATCATCAGCACCTCTACCTTTGTCTTTCTAACCTTATCTCGCTGAATTATACTTCGTGAATAATATCTTCGAACCCTAGTCTTCTTCATTGCCATTAATACCTCTACTATCTTTATCACTATGGGGTTTGATTTGACATTTGCGTCTCTGTGCTAATGTGGTATGGCAACATGAACTTATGTACATACGTACGAAGTTCTACGTTGCAACTGACTAACTGACTGACTGATTTATCAGCAAGACAGACGGCTTCATAATCCCAAAGAAACCATGTTACACTGATGTAATTACGCATGTTACCACCTAATGGAGCATAGGCCGCCAACCAGCATTCTTCAATTTACCAACTTTGTCCTGGACCTTCGTTTTTAGTTTTGTTGAATATAGTTGTTCATTTTTCTCATGCCTGTCTGCATTTCTCGGCGTTATGTGATTGTTCGGTGTTCCCTTTTTTCCTTTGGCTTTGAGGATTCTAAGTGGGAGCTAGTCTTGTGACCTTAGTTGGTTGCTTTTTGCAATGTGTGTCCTATTTCACTTCCAGCGCTTCTTCTTGATTTCTTCTTCTACTGGAATCTATGTTTGTTCTCTCCCACAGTAGGTTGTTACTGATAATGTCTGGCCAACGGATGGAGAGTATTTTGCGTAGACAACTGTTAATAAACACTTGTATCTTGTTGATGACAGCATTCGCGCTTCCTCAAGTTTTCTCTCTATACAGTTGAACTGTCTTGACATTCGTATTGAAAATTCTGATTTTGGTGTTGGTTGATAGGTAACTGTTTTGAGTTGCTGATATTGTTCAGTTGTAGAAATGCTCTCCTGTATATAAATAATGTTGTATATTTTAGGATTAGTCAAATATTGTGACGAAAATTTATAGAATTCATTAAACAGTCAGATTTTAACAAACATGACTGTGATAATGAAGCGTATATTTGTATTACATATACGAACTAGTATAATAGCCGAATCTTGTAGTAGTATTCACTTATGGACCAGTAAGGAACACTGGAAGAACTAACTACGTGAGCACGAAACTGAAGTATTTTACTTCCAATTTGAATTGAGTGCGGAATGATGTACAAAAATTAATCAGTGTTGTACACATAGCCATTATCACACTGACGTTAGTCATTTACCAATAATTAATAGATTGAATAATTTACGTTTCACGGTTACATGATAAAATGTATCAGTCAAAGTCTCAACATTTAAAAACTTTCACAATTAGGATACTGAAAAGGAAAATCTTAGAAATGAGCTCACTAGGGACTAGTTTCATGATAAAATTGTCGGATATCTAATAAGATGCCGTGACCAGTGGAGTTGAACCCTGTTTAGGTGTAGGCAGTTACCTACCGAAGACAATCGGTGTAGTTTTACAATACACCTGGAGACTTATATTTTACAACCGGTTAGTATTGATATTACCAAGGTGTACCTGTACTCTTAACCGGATTGAACTTATACTCTGATTACCAAAAAAAACAATCATTTGTGTACAAATTAGTTCTAAAAAGCTCCGCCCGTAACTCTTCTAAAGTTATTGTTGGTTTCAAGTCTGAATAAAAGAGACATGTTAGACATGAGGTTGATGATCGCATTCCGTAGAAAACTATTGTATAAGGATTTATTAAATGGTATATGTTACGCATGTACGTGAACATGTTATTTTGATATGCTTGAACTATTACGAGTTTACCTAGTCGGAAAATGAGAGCGAGGATCAAGGATCCGGCGACATGACATGCTACTCAAATCCGATTATCCCAACCCTCATACTTGATATGAAGTAGAACCTGTATTCTGCAAACATCCAGAAAGTACGAGATCCGAGTCCAGAAGACAATCAGGATTCCGGACTAGGGATCCGGGACCGGGTCCTGGTCATAAAACGTTACAGATAATGCGTATTTATACATTTAGGTTGAATAGGAAACGTGATAGAAGTTTGTGACATTGTCAGTTAAGACGACCAATAGGAAGCAACATTTGAAGTGACATTGAAGATCAGGACAACCAATAAGAAACAAGATTGGAGCACGTGACATTGATATGTAGGACGATCATAAAATTGACCAGCAGAAATTAACCAATAGGAATCGACCTATAATTCTTTTGGGATATTGGATAAATATCCTAACATTATATTCATCATCATTAAACAAACAGTGAAATCAAGAGTCGATCATTTTTAGACCACGAACATTTCATCCAAGTATGGAACTCATAAGCAGTACCTATCTACCACTCTTGCTCGCAAGAATCAAATCCAGGACCTTCGATCTCACGTGCGAACGCTTGACCTCCAGACCACTGAGCCAGTAGTCAAACGGTGTAAATATCTAAAAATGTGCTCATTAGTGACTATAGCTTCATGAGGAAAATCTCGGAGTCCTAGTAAAACGACGTGACCAGTGGAGTTCAACCGTGTTGAGTGTAGGCAGTTATCCACCGAAATCAGTGGGTAAAGCTGCTGAATACCCTGGATTGCTTGAAGTTAGACATGATAATTCCGAGTAAGTTGTCTAGAGGTGAAGTGTTCTCGTGCGAGAACGAACGTTTTGGGTTGGATTGATGCCTGCAGGTAGATATCTTAGATGCTCACTAACACTGATGAGTTCCGTACTAGGACGAAACAGCCGTCCAGTGCTTCCAGGCTTCTAATAGAATGGTTGTCTAACAATAATCAATTCATTATTTCAATGCAACTCAACAATCTCCACCATTCGATAATGAGAATAAACAGTTTTATCAATGAGATTTGATCATTTTCATGTATAAATCTATCTATCTAGATCTCAAATTGACAATAACACCATTCACCTTGACTTCATCGGATCATATTTCTGTTGATAATTTTGTAGATCGTTTACAATCAATCTATTATCCGTATCATAATATGTATTTTTATGAATATGACAATACGTCATTTTCTGATATTAATGTATTCTACGGTAAGACTGCCTAACTTGTATATGAATGTGTGTACATATGTAGAGATAAAGTGATATAGTTTTTTTTTTGGTAAGCATGACTGTCTTGCTTGCATGCTATAAGCATGCTGTCGAGGTTTTCGTCGGTGATTGTTTTCAGTACTCATTTAATGAATGAGAATTCCTCACTATTTTATTGAATGATCTGCCGTCTGTTTATATTCAATAACTTACTTATGATCGGTATATAGAGCTGAAGATTTTCTATGAGACGACCAGAGGTTCTCTGAGATGAACCTTGTGGAGATAGTTTGTCATTACTATGGCAAGTTTTGCTGATAGTCCATATAAAAATTTGTTTTGCAGGCTGACCGATTTGATGGATACTGGTGGTGGTTGTCTTGCGACATTCCCGATGGCCATTGGGATGCGCTGTATCGCATATTACCATTGTGGTGGTGTTTCATTCTCTAAGCTGGAGGTTATTTTGGTTGTGAAGCTTTCATTGTTCTTCTGAACAACATCATCAGCACAAACTACAGATAGAAGTGAAGCATTCGAATCGCTTCACGTATGACCCGTAGCTTGTTCTGTTAAACTCAATCTTGATTGGTTGCTGTTGACTTTAAATCTGTCCTTATTTGCACCTTTATTTTGATTGTATCCCCCTTTTGATCTGTTTTTTGATCCTATGTTTGTCTATGATTTTTCTGATTGGTTGATAAATTGGGTACATGTTGATGTGCTTGTTAATTGCTGATTGACCTGAGTACCAAGCTTCTGAAAATCTTCGAGTGTTCTTTGTCCTCCGCCTGTCCAGTATTTCCATATTATTCCAATCGAATGATAGCTCCACAGCGAAAACATCCAGCTCAGAGAACGAAACACCACCACAATCATCCACCTGAGCTACGAATTTTCTCGACCATCTCATATTACCATTGCTAATAATAATGAGTTTGTGACAGTCATGTAAGCGCAATCAGTCAAATTGGCTTGTTTATGCTGTGCATATTGATTGACTGATACGATCATGGATTGGAAATAATCACTGTATGTATATTGTTGTATATCATTGGTGTGAATGGTCCACCAAGGCGTCAGGTACCTGTGTACTGTTAGCTCCACAGGATTGAGCCGAACTGTTCACAAGTGGACAGTCTCCTTGGTTCTCTTGTGAAAACCAATATAGAACTACCCTTGCTCATAGTTGGTGTCTGATCTCAGCATTAATCACACTGAATGGTCGCAAACTATACACCAGTATGCCATCAAATCCAAATAGATGAAAATGCTAACTTTATTGAATGATAGATTTATTTGTACAGAATATAAATTCATACAAGCTCATGTGCTCTATTGCATGCATATATGCGTATGTATACTCAAAATAACAACATTAAAAAAAATATATATATTTTTATCCTCTTTTCTGTACTAATCATATTTTAGGTGAACAAAATGATGAGTCGGAATTATTCCCAAGACGGGTAGGTTTTTTTTCACAATTATTTTGTATAAAAATAGAAAGGACAGAGTTTCTGTTTGTTGATTAGGGAATCATTGAACTATCAAAGTATAGTGTTGAAAGCTTTATGGTCTTGATAAAGCATTGCTAATCAATACAGAAATATGAGATATGTCAAGAATAGAACTTAAGATCTTCAAATCTTTCTTGACCGTAGCTTATATCTTGACGTGTTGGTTGGGCTTGCCTATCAGGATGACCCTACTGAGCTATATTGGCTGGAGCATATGTTCCTGTAGGTTCTACCATGCCAGTCAGGTTGATTGGAGAACGATGAAACTAAAAGCATCAACTGAAGATCTGCGGGCGAAGTCGTACTGCTGACTGTAGACGGATGTGACAGCATTAAGGTGTTTCCCTTGGATAACCAGCATCTGCAGTGATACTGCCTTCTCACAAGGAACTAAGGGGTTAGAAAAGGTCAGCTCCAACGATGTCACACCTTACCCTATCCATGGATTTCCGTCTCCAGTGGTAAGGCTATTTGAGGAGCGGGGCTAACACTATAAACTTCCCATAAAAAGGCCATGTGTGACCTGCCTCAAGCAGTTTTCACTTGGACTCTATGATCACGCTCCCAGGTCACTAACATCAAGGTTAATCCAATACCTTTTTCAGGTTCCTCAAGAAACAGCCTTCCTAGTTGTTGGCAGCCGGGAAGTGACATCCGCCCTCATACCCTTAACAGCACATGAGACTGACTAGATGGGATCTAGTGATGATATGTTCTACTTTAACTGGTTTGAGATAAATTAGGCAACTGTTGGTCAATACCATTTAATGAATAACAGTCTCACTTCTGAAATGATGAAATTCATCTAGATACAATCACTTTACTGAAATAACAAGAATTCATCTTTAAATCAGTTAGTAATTAGGACTTCCCATATACATGTATCAATTCAAAATGCTACGCCAGTTTAGTACAATGTAATAAGATTAGCGGGAAAAACAAATGCCATCAGGGTTGTGACTCTCCAAGCGTGTCTCTATCATTATATAAATAAGCTTGAGTTGTGCTTAGCAACCTAATCCTTCTGGGTGCCTAGAGAACACATTCTCTAAGCCTTATCAAAACTTCTTGCTCTAGTTAGCAGGACCTGGGACAAACGGATAAGAGTAGCCTATCGTGTTGCTGTGTCGTTGATCTTCGTTCCATTTACCGAATAAGGTGAACTCATAATAGTTTCAAGCACCATTGGTTAAGATAATCCTGTAAACCACAATCAAGATAACTTTATCTATCTATATGGCTCAATCCAATTAACAATGACCGTATGAACTGGTTCCATATCTTGTTTTGGTCACCACTAATATTTTTTCCACTTTACTGCTACTTCATAATACAATACCAGCTGTTGAATTTGTCAGTGTTTTTGAGTACAATAATGTATCTCCTGATCATCTAAGTCAATGAAGAGTCCCTTGTCTCATTCACTGATTTGTCTTCCTTATTGAACACCCTTATGCCTGATTTCAGCAATAATCACACTCAATAGTTTTAAAATATACGAATTTCGAATTATTTTTTTCTGGTTGGCGTTTGTCTTAGCGAGTTAGTTTTCTATGGTTTAGAGTAGCCAACTGCATGTCCAACCCCCCCTGCTTTATCCGTGCTTGAAATACACGACCGGCAGTAGCCCCAGAGCGATCCAAGGCAAAGCGTTCCTCCAAATAGACACAAATGAAAATTTGCTTAGTCAAATGTTTTAATTTAGCGCTGATATAGATCGTTCTGAATATGTGTACATGTGATTAGTATTGTAAACAAATTTTCAAATGGTTGATTTCAAGTACCTGGCGTCTGAGATCTGAATGTGTGATACAAACTAACCACCTAGACTTTCCATTTGAGTGAGAAGGCAACAGTGGAAGAGGAAGTCTATTTGGCTTCCGAATACTATGTAGACATGCCTTCATATATATACATTCCACCCCTTTAGAAAATCAATTCACTTCTTGACCAATGAAATATATTCGTTCTATAGAACAGTTCTAATAGTCAACTATTGGCCTCCTTATTTGGTCAGTTGTGATTGGCTTGTCATCATCTCATTTCACAAAAAAATTACTGAATGTAATCTTATCAATTTCGAATTGTTTTAATACATACATCTGAACTGGATGAAAACAATCCAGAAACAGCTTTGCTTACATGAACCGTAATTTGCAGCAGTCAAACACCATGACATGTCTCCCCTGTCACACGAAGCTTGTCACTCAGATCAATCGACAATCAACTAACACACATTGACATCGAAATTGATCCAAAATATGCACCAATCAGAAAAATCATTTACAATCATAGGACCAAGAACCAAACCAAAAGGGGATACAGTTTAAATTAAGAGGACAGGCAATGACAGGATATAAAGGTCAGTGACAACCAATCAACATTGCGATCAACAGGATAAGCTAAGAATCATAGATGGAGAAATTCGAACACTGCATTCATACCGGAAGTTTTTGCTGCTGTCTTTTTGACAAAAAATGAGAGTTCCATAAGCGCGTGGACGCTTAACTACTGGCTCATTGAGCTGGCATCTAACAGTTAATGATTTCAAACAGTAACTCAACAATCTCCACAACCCTATAATGCTGAATAATGAGTGTCTTATTAGCGATCTCTAAAACCTTGTACATACTCAATTGGTGTTTTTCTTTATTAAAACTAACTGTAATCCAAATTGTCAGTTTGACCTTGTGACCTTGAGAATCGTTTTCTCAGTGGTGATTGGTTCAGTTGCACATTTTAAACACGACTCAAAACAGGGACATATATTGATTACATTTCACGCGTTCGCATCATTTAGTTATTCTTAACCTTGATATGATCCTCTGAGAGCATATTGAACAAAACGAAACCAATGTTACTGTAACCAATACTGCTATTCCTGTCACTCTTCTTGGAGCCCGCTATGGGGCTACTGTCGGTTCCAAGCCCAGATAAAGGAGGAGGATTGGGCACGGAGTTGGCGACCATAGATCCCATAGAAAACCAAGTCACTAAAATAGAAACGCTAATCAGAAAAAAATGATTCAAACCTGTTACGATTAGTTGAAATCAATAAATCTATCTATGAGGTTGGTCATTATGTAATCCACTGTAGTATGGTATTAGTTCAGTTGACTCTGTGATATAATAATGAACTAAGAGTTGACTGTTTGATTTTGTTTCAACAATGTATCTTTTTTAAGCGAATCGCCTTATCAGTGAATCTGTCTTTTGCTTTTTTTTAAATCGATGCATATTTTAAAAAATTTTTTTAGCCAAGAATTCAAGTTGTACATTCTCCCGTTGAAGCATCCAGTCAAATTCCAGGTAAGTCGATTAATAAGTGAGTAAAACTTCGGTTTCTTTTTGATGAATTCACTGCCGTTTTCTTGCCTTCGTTAAGACAACATTAATCAGCGTAGACTTTCGGGTAGAAGTGAGCTATTTGAATTTCTGCACAAATGATTAATAGCTTACAATTACTTACTTACTTGCTTCCACCCTCCCAATGGAGCATAGGCTGCCGACCAACAATCTCTATCCTACTCTGTCCTGGGCCTTCCTTTCCAGTTCTGTCCAATTTCCATTCATTCTTCTCATGTCTGTCTGCATTTCCCGGCGTAAATTGTTCTTCGGTCTTCCTCATTTTCTTTGACTTTGGAGATTCCAAGTCAGGGATTGTCTTATGAAGCAGTTAGGTGCCATCCACAATGTGTGGCTTCTCCAGTTCCAGCGCTTCTCCCTAATTTCTTCCTTAGCTTGAATCTGGTTTTTTCTCTCCAAAAGTGGGTTGTCATTGATGCTGTTTGGTCAACGGATCTCCAGAATCTTGCGTATACAACTGTTAATAAATGTTAGTATCTTCCAGATAATGGCCTACGTACTTCCCCAAGTTTCCTCTCCATACAGTAGAACTGTCTTGACATTTGTATTAAAAATTATGACTTTAGTGTTGGTTAATAGCTGTTTTGAGTTGCAGATGTTGTTCAATTTTAGAAGTGCAGCCCTTGCTTTACCTTTCCGCGTCTTTATACGGACCACTTAGTCGGTCTCCAGCGGTCTAATCATAATCAACTCAAGGTATGACGCAAACTCATCCATTGATTTTAGAATGTAAATGTCTCACATCTGACACGGCTGGACTCCACCGGTCACTGCTTTTCATTAAAACTCCGAGAATTTCCAAACGAATCTAGTCATTGGTGAGCACATGATTGTCACTATAGAGTTGTGTAGATTGTTGAGTTTTGATTCGTGCGTGTGGATGTTGTGGATGTGCACTGATGACAAGTTTCATACTATGACGAATGTACCATCCAGTGCTTCTAGGTTTCTACTGGTAGTCTAACGTAGATTGGTTCACGATTTAATTGAATTATGAAGATTAATTTAAATTGACATTATATTTCTTAAACGATTACTTCCAGTCACAGAATCATCATACATTGAGAGCATGTAGACATAAAGTTCCCGCCTGTTTTTGAACTTTTTAACGCTACGCGCAAATGATTGAACAACGAATCAAAAGCATTGGATCGAAAAAATGCCCAATGGTCAGCGTTTAAATGATATTCTAGAAAATAAATATCATCCCTGGTATTTGTGTTAGATCTCCTGCGACTTCGACCAAAACGGAATCTGTTTTATGTTAAGTATACTGTGCTGACCAAATCCATTAGCTTTCTGTTTGACCAATAACCTTATGATAATGACAGAAAATCTTTAACGTCTATTGGTTAACGAGCTTAATTCATTCTTAATCGCCAGACAGAATACGCTGTTTGGTTACTATCAAAGTCACGACTCTATAAGGTTTTGGGAAATATTGAGTTTCGTTAAAAATCATCAAGCGGTCAATTTTAGGCTACCATTGGAGACCTGGGAATACTAGGTAGCCATTTCGTCCTAGGTTGGAGTGTGTGTCCGCAACCCCCTGCTCGTGGGAATCCAACTCAGAACCTTTGGTCTCACAAGTGAACGCTTAACATCTAGACCACTGAGCCGGTGTTGATGTCTACTTTTGATAGATCTAAGCTTTTACACAACCGCAGCACCTCAACCTAACAGTATTGGATGCCGGCCCAATGGTCTAGTAATTATCCTTCGCATGCGAGACCTCAGGTCCTAGGTTCAATCCCCACGAATAGGGATGATTGATGCGCACAGCTGAGGAGTCCCATGCTATAGGATGAAACGACAATCTTACGCTTCGACGTTTCTAATAGTCTAACAGTGATTGATTCATGTGATTTCAAATGAAATACAACAATTTTCATAACTCTATAATGATATAAATAAAACATTAGTGAGCAAGTCATTTTGTTTCATCCTACAATTCAAAATCATGAGTCCGCCATGTAATTTATTCAACCTGATGTAAATAATTTAAATTTTCTGTTATTTTTCAGTTCAAAAAAATGTTTTTTTTTGCCATCAAGATATATTATGCTATGGGACTCATCGTAAGTGCGCATCCACAACGATCTTCATAATACTACAATGCGGAAATCGAAAAAAATGTGCTCACTAGTGACTAGCTCCGTGAGGAAATTCTCTGAGTTCTAATGAGTAGACTCGACCAGTGTAGTTCAACCAAATAACTACCGAAGGCAATTGGGGTGGTTTGGCAAAATCCTTAGATTGATCAGAGTTAGACATTACCACTGTTAGATGACAGCTCAGTGGTTTGGAGGTCAGGCGTTTGCGCGCAAGACCACAGAGGTGTTTAAGTTTCGAATCTTGCGAATGGCAAAAGTCGTCAATGTGCACTGCTGAAGAGTCCCATACTGCATAAGATGAAACGGCCGTCTTTCGGTGCTTTAAGTTTTTTAATAGTGGTGGTCTATCATTGATCAACCTGATAATAATGCGTTTTTTTAAAAAAACATTTTTCTCGATTATTTTTACTTGTACACAAAAGTTTTCTACCATCAAGATCAATTTTCAATATCTATTTACAGGTGGACCAAATAGAGGTAGAACATTTTCTGGATCTCCAACAATGTATCAAACTCAAGGACCATATCCAACAAAATCAAGATTAGCTTACATATCTCCGTCAAAACGATCGTAAGTTCACCATGATCTGATTGGTTAGCATGTGTTTTTTTCTCTACTGTTCATCGAATTATGTTGCGCAGTTCCAGATTAATTAATTTATATATTGTATTTAAGTCTTAGTTAGTAAGTTACAACGTAGAACTTCGTACGTCAGTACATCATTTCAGGTTGCCATACCACATTAGCACAGAGACGCTATTGTCAGATCAAATCTCATTGTAGTAGAGGTAGTAGAAGTATTACTGGTAATGGAGAAGATTATGGTTCGAAGATAGTATTCAAGAAGTATTATTCAGTGAGGTCAATTTATAAAGAGAAAGGTAGAGATGATGAGTAATTCAGAAGGTTAGAATTTAAGAGAACATAATGAATGAATGCGCCTGCGCCATTTCAAACGATTTCGAGTCATACCGTTCAAGGTCTCTAACCATCGATTAGTATCATCTCGCGGACCCCAACCAGGTAGCCTACATCTACTAAAAGGACTCAGTCCACTTGTTGTCAGTGACTTCATGGTTTTGTGCCATGTTTTGGTTTGGCCGCCGCTAGCTGCATCGCGAAACATAGCTCGTTGAGGCAGTTGGTGGTCAGGTATACGTAAGACATGTCCCAACCACCTCAACTGACGAAGTTTCACTTTATCTATTGGTTTACCATCCTTACCTAGCAGCCGTTTCCTAACAACAGCATTGCTTACTCGGCCGTCACACGATACTCGAGCAATGCTTCGGAGACACCTATGATCGAAAACCAGCAACCTACTTATATCTCCTACTCTGACTGGCCATGTTTTACAGTCATAAAGTAGGACAGAGGAAACTGATGCGCAGTACACTCGTCCTTTGTTCAGCAAACAGATATCTCGTCTACGCCATAAGTGCCGCAGGTTGGCAAAAGCCGATCGAGACTTCTGTATCCGAGCTGAGATTTCGTCAGTCACCAGGCCATCAGCACTGATGAGACTTCCGAGATAAGTGAGGTAGTCAATTTGCCCAACTGCTTCACTCTCTTTCACTAGTTCAGGTGCCTATGTAACCCAATCCTGAAGCAACATTTTTCATTCCTGAGGGGTGTAAACCGCATTCCGAACATGCTTGCATTGTTGCTTAGAGTAGTCAGAAGACTCTGCATTTTGTCAGCGTCTTCACCGAATAGGACTATGTCATCAGCATATATATTCTAATTTAAAACAATTATCCTTTTCACATTACGTTAATTTTCCCTCCGTCCTTTATTTACAATTATCACCTTATGTCTATTTAAACTTTTATTTAATTGACCTTTTATTCATCTTCATATAAAATGCCTTGACAAGTAAATATGTGTGACCAGATTGTACGAAATGTATGACGCAAATACATTGAAACATTTTTCAAATCAGTTACGTCTTCTCACTGTTCTATCAAAATATATCTTCTAAGTCAACAGGCGCGTCTTTTGGTAATTGAGGTCTTAGGGAGTGTACATTTGCGTCGAGTCCACAGGGCTTGTTCCCTCTTAAGCCTTGGGACAAATTAACCTGATCCAATTCTCCCGAGTTACTATTCACTCGTCTTTTGACTTTGTTAACTATTCGCTTTTATTTTGGCGGTTTTTATTCGAGTATGTGTGTGCACCGCTCATTTCACTTATCGCATGTCTAGCCTGTTTTTGTCTGACTATAATTACTTAGTTATGATTCATCGCAGGGGGTTGGCTCGCCAGCCTTCTCCAGGTTGCTTCACTGTACTTGTATACTTTTCATTATCATGTCTCTGTCTACCTGAACGGTTGTATGAAATAAATTCACCCAACTGAATCCGTATTTGGCTTCTAATTATCATTATCGCACGAACGAGTTATGCCTAAATATGATATTTACGAACTGAAGGGACATTTATTTCATAGCGTATCTTTTCATCGTCCTTACAGATTGGAGTCAGATAGCGGTAGTAAGCCATACGTCAAATTTATCGCAGCCACTAAAAGTTCATTACAGATAATCCGATTTATCGGAGTGTTAATTTCAAACTGAAGAGAAGAACTTCTTCAAATTAACCTCTTTGCTCCATTGTCGGTAAAACGAAATCATGCTTTTGAACATATCGCTTCATTGTTTCACATTGATGTTTGTTTGTTAATTTAAAAGTTGGTTGAATGAATTCCGGGAGCGGCTAAACCAAAATTTAGAATCCAACCAAGAATTTATTGATTATTGATCTGAACCATGTCGGTAGATCCAACTTACCTATTTAGGCGTCGATAACTTCAATCAATGGTTGAATATTTAATCTGAGATCACTTTGATGTAGCAGTTACACTACCAAGAACTGAATTCATTTTCTCGTCTTCTAAATAATCTTGAGCTATAGCGTTTCCTTATAAACAACTTATCATTCCCATTACAGTTATTTCGATCGTATGTGGTCATTGATGATAGTTCGATCAGAAATTAAATCAATCTTAGTGGTTGGTACATGTACGTACACCTTTTCATGAATAATCCAATTCAGAATAAATTAAAATGTATGCCCACTACATAAATTAGTGGCTAAATGGGTAACGCAGAACGCACTGAGTTCGGATTCCAGAACATCAGCATTGTGATTCAGATTACTTACTTACTTGCGCCTGTTGCCCCCAATGGAGCATAGGCTGCTGACTAGCATAATTCAACATACTCTCTCCTAAACCTTTCTTTCTAGTTCTAATTAATCACTTCATTCTTCGCGTATCCGAAGGGACTTGTCTTTTATCGTGACACGTCATAACTCTTCTAATTGGAGACCTAGTTCCGAGGGCAGAGTTTAAATGATTTGAATTATTTTTCCTGGTTAGCGCTTTTTATAGCGAGTTAGTTTTCAAAATGATAGAGTCATTAATCCCATGCCCAACCCTCCTCCTTTATCCGGGCTTGGGACCGGCAGTAGTTTTGTAATACAGGTACATTCATCTGATTGGTCTCAGATGGGATGCAATGCACGTCCTAATATTCATTACTAGCAAAATCCCTTTTCTATTCTAAATGTCTATACATCAATCTTGGAAAAAAACATTATAAAATAACTTGCCTGAATCGATATTTTTCTGTCAATTAGTTCGTTTGCTGCTCTTCCTATTTTGCAGGCATTTCTGGGGACATTCAAGTTATGATGAACAATGGTCGAGACAGCCGGTTGGTAAGTGATTGATCACATTTTTGAAAAGAAAGGCTTAATTACTGTTCAAGATTCAATTCACAGAAAATTCTGTGTCTACAATGCGTACACCTGTCACTTTTCGTCACCAAAATAAGATTTGCCACTTGAATCTGAGTAACGATAGATGATTATCTTTATTTTTGATATCAATCGGTAGACTAAGAACTCATTTTAAATCATTGGTTACTTATTTACGCCTGTTACGTCTCGTGGAACATACTCTGCCGACTAGCCATTACCAATTAGGTTTGTTCTGATTTTTGAGATTCATAGTGCGCCGAGATCAAACAATGATAGTCAAGGATTATCCGGGTGGGTATTCGATCTCAGGGTCAACTGATCAGCCCATATGCTAAAACATAAAATCCAAAATTAGGAGTGAGTTCTGGGGATCTAATGTCCCCGAAAAATACAAGGGTAGTATTACTACAACTGAAGAACATCTGGAACGCAAAACAACTATAAACCAGCACAATAGTCAGAATTTTTAATACAAACGTCAAAATAGTTCTATTGTATGCAGTGAAAACGTAGAGAATGACGGAAGCCATCATTTTCAAAAGTTACAGGTGTTGATTAACAGTTGTCTTCGCAAGCTACTGTGGATCCGTTGACCAGAAACCATCGGAAACAATCTACTGTGGGAGAAGACAAACCAGTTCCTGGATGAGAAATTAGTAAGAAGTGCAGGAGATTTCTGATAGCACCCAACTGTTTCATCAGATAAGTGCTCACCTGGAATTCTTAAGGAAAAAGGAGAAGAGGAGAAGACCAAGGAACACACTACGCTGAGAAATGGAGACAGACATGAATAGAATGAACGAAAATGGGATAGAACTAGAAAGGAAGTCCTAGAACAGAATAGGTTTTAAGTTGCTGGTCGATGGTCTATACTCCATTCTAGGTAACAGGCTTAAGTAACTTAACTTATTTAGGATTTTGAATGAAATGAACGAGTAACACTAAAAAACCTGTTTTATCTATCAGGTGATATGAAGTAAAGTACAGTGATAACTTTTCTGTATTATGTAATCGAATTTGTTTTGAAAAAAAAAAAAAATTCTAAATACTTGAAGAAAGAGAAACTTTTATTTATTGACAACAAAGGCAACTTGAAAATCTATGATGTGTATTTAGCTTGTTCTCAGTTGAAGTTTGTATTCCCATAAACGAGACTGATTTCATTTCATCGCATTGTCAGTATGAAAATTTGACATTAAATACTGTTAATTTTACAAAGTAGTTTTATTTGTTACAAAAACTTGTACTCTTCATCTCATATCTCAACTCATTAAAACAACAGCAGACAACATCAAATTCTATTCTTAACATTTATACTCACTTAAGCTAGTTAGTCTTCAATGCATTGTCAATGTCAAACATTTTGATTTCCGCTTGTTTAAATTCATCTTATTATTATCTGAGCGGTTGTTTTAAAATTTGTTCAATGTTGAACGTTTTTTTTTTTTGATTTCTTATCGTTAAAAACTGACAATCATTATCAATGTCTATTATTCAATTGTATAACGCAGTAAATGAACGTTTACCGCTTGACTGTATATTTCATCCCTCAGAATTTGACTAGGTTTTTGATGACTATGTCATCATTGTAAAACTTAAATTATACTATTGACTATGACAGAGCTATGAGGCTGAATAACATTTAGAATGCGAGTTTCCTCATGCTTTCTGATTCCGCCTTACGGCTGATAAACTCTAGTCGATCATATTCAATCATCTGATATCAGGATTCATACTGAAATCTAAAAAAGATTACTAGTGATTCGATTCCAAGACATTGCTACCTGTTTTTTTTCTCCATCCATTATAGCTGATGGACCCGCAATCGATCGATCCTCGTGTACTAGTCCAGTACAAACACATTCTGGTCGTTTACTTCGATCACCAGTTAGTCCACCATTTAGAGGTTATACTCAACGTCCATCAGAAGTCCTAGATACAGGCAGTCAATCAGATACAGCTATAATGGGTGGTTTTGGCAGTCGAGTTTGTTATCCTGGCACTTCATATTCTGCACATGATCCATCTGGCAGACGGCCATATAGAGCAATGCGTGGTAAAGCAACTGAACTGACAAAAAGAAATCGACCTGTTCAAATGCCAATCTATCGAAGTCCAGAAGATCATAAGCCACCCAGGCAAAAGCAACCGATTTCAGGTGGTTTAGGTATGATAATATCTTCACTTCATGCTAAATTTTCAATGCTCTTTCAGTTATTCTGGTTGCTTAGCTAAACTGTTTCACTTATTCATATAAACATTGTTTCTTCTCTCGACGAAAATTTTATCTGAAATGTTCAAAAAAACGACAGTGACAATCTACTTGGATATTTTTGCAAATTTTTCCGGTAAAACTCAAATTTATAGATTAAGCTACCTTTATATAATCTGGGCAGCATGATTGATGAGCGCGGTGGATCTAAGGCGAACGTGAATGTGTGGATTGGGAAAAAAAGGGCATCATTCCTACAAGTGAAGAGCATCCGGAACTCAAAACAACTATCAACAAACAGCATAGTCACAATTTTCAATGTAAATGTCAAGACAATTCTACTGTATGGGACGGAAACTTGGAGAACTATGACAGCTATCATCCTAAGGATATATGTATTTATTCGTGTACGTGATGTACTGAGGATTCGCTGATGAGACAGCCTCAACAGCAACCTACTGTAGGAGAGAACAAACCAGATTCCAACAGAGGAAGAAATCAGGAAGAAGCGCTGTAAGGCACCCAACTACGTCAAAAGACAGGCCCTCCTTGGAAATCCTCAAGGCCAACGGAAAAGAGGAAGACTAAAGATCATAATACATCAATAAATAGAAACAGACACGAGAAGCATGAACAGAACCGCAAAGGAAGACCAGGGACGGAGTAGGTTAGAGAATTCTGGTCGGTGGTCTATGATTGATTAGGGGTAACATACTAAAGTAAAGTAAGTAAGTAAGTAAGTAAGGATAGCAATCCTTGGACTTTGGTGCAAAATCCATTTATTCATACAGACGAATAGCATATTGGCCCTTATAAACTAATGTCAATGTCTCTTCATCTGAATCCTAATTTTAGTTCCAGTAGTCTAGCTATATTTCCTCCAAGTCACTTTAGCATCGATCAAAGCTTGCTCATAAATTATGGATCAGCCAGTTTTATTGTTATCTTGAGACGTGTCGACCCAATTATCGATCAAAATCCCACTTCTAATTTAGTCTGTTATTTATACTTGATAGTTTAATGTCTTTGACTTGACCAATTTATGCACCAATTTATGTACACAAAGGACAGCTAACAGACTCTTTCGAGGTGAAGACCGGTGTCAGGCAAGGTTGCTTACTCTCACCCTTTCTCTTTCTCCTGGTGATCGACTGGATTATGAAGACGTCGGCATCTCGAGGGAAGCACGGTATTCAGTGGACAGCTAGAACGCAGCTGGACGATCTAGACTTCGCAGATGACTTGGCTCTGCTATCGCACATGCAACATCAAATACAAGAGAAGACGACCAGTGTAGCAGCAGCCTCTGCAGCAGCAAGTCTCAACATACATAAAGGAAAAATCAAAATTCTCCGATGCAGCACAACGTGCGCCAACCAAACCACTCTTGATGGAGATGCCTTGGAAGACGTTAACACCTTCACATATCTTGGCAGCATCATCGACAACCAAGGTGGATCCGATGCAGATGTGAGGGCGCGAATTGGCAAAGCAAGGGCTGCATTTCTACAATTGAAAACTATCTGGAACTCCAAACAACTTTCAACCGAAACCAAAATCAGGATTTTCAATACAAATGTCAAGACAGTTTTACTGTATGGAGCGGAAACTTGGAGAACTACGACAGCCATCATCCAGAAGATACAAGTGTTTATTAACTGTTGTCTACGCAAAATACTTCGGATTCGTTGACCAGACACCATCAGCAACAACGTACTGTGGGAGAGAACAAACCAGATTCCAGTGGAGGAGGAAATCAGGAAAGAGCGGTGGAAGTGGATAGGACACACACTACGAAAAGCACCTGACTGCATCGCGAGACAAGCACTCACATGGAACCCTCAAGGTAAAGAGGAAGGCTGAGGAACACATTATGCCGAGAAATAGAGAAAGATATGAGAGGAATGAACAAACATTGGACAGAACTGGAGAGGGAAGCCCAGGACAGAGTTGGTTGGAGAAAACTGATGGGCGGCCTATGCTCCATTGTGGGTAACAGGCGTAAGGAAGTAAGTAATTTATGCACTTGCCCAACAAGTAGGCTGTACATAATAGAGATTTTGCGAAATCGATAGACAGTAAATTATAAATAGTAAATTGTATGTATAACCCATAGTTAAATGCGTCAAACGTAAACTATTAATGATAAATAGAATATAATCCAGACAAAGTAATTTAACTAACAAAGTAAGTTTTTGGCGGCCCGCTTGAATATTTAACACCTTTTCTCGGTTTGTTTTAATACGTCAATTATGGCAAATAATCGCATTATCTCTTTAGCTGCGTTCAAATAAAACAAACAGTCTACCGACCGCATCTTCGCACTACGACAGGTCCTGGAACATAGACACACATTTAGGCGTCCTACAATAGTTGTTTTCCTGGACCTTAAGGCGGCATTTGACTCTGTTGATCGTGAGGTTCTGTGGCAGTGTCTGTCACTTGAAAGGTGTACCAAAGAAGTACATTAACCTTATACAAGCTCTCTACTCGAAACACCACTGGTCGAGTGAGAGCTTATGGCGAACTGTCACCGGAATTCTCTACTTCAAGTGGTGTCCGTCAGGGATGTCCACTCTCTCCATTCTTGTTCAATTTTATCATAGATAATAATCGATGGTTAGAGACCTTGAATGACATGGCTCAAAATCGTTCACAATGGCGCCGGTGCATTCATTCTTTGTGTTCTCTCAAATCCTAATCTTCTGGATTCTTCAACACCTCTAGTTTCGACCCTCTCAACTTTTCTCACTGAATCATACTTCTTGAATAGTATCTTCTAACCCTAACCTCTCCGATTATTTCTAATTCCCTTACTACCTCTACTACTATTGGATTTGAATTGACGATTATATCTCTGTGCTGATGTGGTATGGCAACATGAACTGATGTACTTATGTACGAAGTTCTACGTTGCATCTGACTGACTGATTAAACAGTCTACCAGCTATTGCTTTAGAAATTGTACAACAAAGTACTATTCAAGACGTCATGTCAGCTGGCCATATGGTGTGAAGAGGAAATTTGTTGAAATATTCCATGCTGAAGATTTCATATTGTAGTTAACACATGATATCGAATAAGCTTACTTAATTTTGCTTGTTACCCCTAATCGAGTACAGGCCACCGACCAGCATTCTCCAACCAATTCTGTCTTGAACCTTCCTTTCTAGTTATTCCTAATAGCTATTGATTTTTTTCATGTCTGTTTGCTATTCTCGGCGTAGTTTGT